AAATGTTCTTAGTTAAAAATTTAAAATAATTAAATATTAAATCAAACTTTTCTTAACAAGTAGTATTTTTTATTATGTAGGTACCTATTTATATCAGGTTTTTATATTATTTTGCATATTATGTACCTATTTATTTATATGAGTTCGTATTATTTGCTTAATTATTTTGCATATAAATGCATATTTTTAGTTCAAGAGAATATTTTAATAAAAAAGCATTTTTTTTTGCATATTTTATTATTATTTTTAAAGAATATTGGAAGAATATTTTCAACTTTTTAAGAGAATATTAGAATCTTATTTTGGCTATTTTAAAAGAATATAATTTCGGCCCCTAGTAATAACTAATATTGTATATACAGTGTGATCACGATTTTAGGTACCACTGAATATCTCAGATGGCTGACATTGTATTGAAATGGGGTTTTCGGGAGGTAATAGCCGATAGGAAGCACTTAAATACATATTTTCAGACCAGTTTAAAATTTTTAGCTCACTCGGTATGCGCATGCGCAATTTGACTTACTTTTTGTTAAATGGCAACCCCACTTTTTTTCTACAGATTCGGGTAGAGTATTTTTTTTTAAACATTTTTTGTATTGAAAGTTTTTCTATTTATAAAACTGACCAAGTTAGAGAAAGTCAAATTTTGGATTTATTCATAATACGTGTTTAATGCAATTTGCATTTATAACCAGTTGAAATAATAAAATAAGTGCCAAATAAATGTTTGATTAGGGGGGGGGGGGGGGGGCTGAGTGGACTAAGGCGTCGGTTGTGGCCGATTTCCGTCCGCCATTAAACATTTATTTGGCTCTTATTTTATTATTTCAACTGGTTATAAATGAAAATATCATTAAACACGAATTATGCATAAATGTTCAATAAATGTTCAAAAATAAATACTCTACCTGAATCTGCAGAAAAAACTGGGGTTGCCATTTAAAAAAAAGTAATATTGCGCATGCGGACCGAGTGAGCTAAAAATATGAAACTGGTCTGAAAATATGTATTTAAGTGCTCCCTATCACCTCCCGAAAACCCCATTTCAATACAAAGTCATCCATCTGTGATATTCAGTGGTACCTAAAATCGTGATCACACTGTATATGATAATATTGATGGATGATTATATATTTGTATAATATTATGGAGATTCGGGTGATTTTTGTATTATCTATGAAATATACATTAATGAAATTAGTACATAAATGTGTTTGACGATTAAAAAAAAAAAAAAAAAGGTCAAGGGGGGGGATACGACACCCAAATCCCCCCCCGTAATTACGCCACTGTGTCGTACCTACGCACGTCTTACTGAAAATATAGTATTACACATATCACTATATAGACGCCATTCAAGCCCGAATTAAGGATCAATAGGGCCCCGGGACACCATACACTAAGCGGGCCCCCTTTCAACTTTAACTTCAAAATTATTGTATCATTACTTATTAAAGACTTTATATTATTGTATACATTTTTACTATACAAAAAATATACAGGGTGTATCTTATGTCATTGTACGAGGATTTTTATCAACAATTATGGAACAATGATATAGAATTTCGATAAAACAAAAAAAGATACTTGTTTAATATTTTTAAGAGGCAATTTTTTTATAACATTTTCAATATTTTTAAACACGCAGTTGTACCAATAATAAAATCAACTTTATTTTTTCAAATGGTAACCACCATATTTTTTGATGGATTCCGGTAAAGATTTTTTTCTGAACATTTTGATAGTCAAATAATCAATTTTGGTTCTCTAGGTTATTAACTATGGTTCTCTAGAGTTTAGTATACAACATAAATTAATACTTTTAACTGAAATACCTAATTTACAAACTCTAAATAATTTTTCTTATAACTACTATTTTATATATTTAAATAGATAAATCTGTTATCTAAAATATTAAAAAAAAAAACAAAATTGTTGGGAAATATAGTTCATGTTTGCAGTAATTTTTCGTGATATAAAATTGAGAACAATTAATTTTATAATTATTAATAATAATTTACCTACAAACTATACCTACCTATCTACTTAAATAACTTTTTTTTTAAACTGTATTGGGAGCGTTAAAAAAATATATTTTGGGGATAAATATGGACCCCGGGATTGTGCCCCCCTTGCCCCTCTTTAATCCGGGCTTACCACCACTAGGTAGGTGAATTATGATACACAGACGTACAGTATACACTATATTTTATTATAATATACATTATACCTATACCATCTACACGTCGTCACAAATACTTGATTATTAGGAACTATCAACTAGATCATAATGAAATATTTTTAACAATACTATAAATAATAAATTGTAAATTATATAATAATAATCATCATACAAAAGAGTATAAAAACCAACTTATTAATATTGAATATTCGTCATGATTCATTCGGCCTGACGTTTTCAACAACTTTTGTATGGCCTAATCAACACTCTCGTATTCCAAGTTGAAATTCATGAAAAGTGTATTAAGATTTAAGATTATTCAGGCTTCGAGGATAAGACGGTGGCTTGGCGGTTATAGGTCCAAGTCCAACCCATAGAGTATCATTCTATGGTCCAACCACTATATTATGACTTTATAGTTGATATTATGAGCGATAACCAACTGAACGTATTTTTAGTCATTCGTCATTGTAAGCAATACAATTATTATGTTATCACTTATTACTATTGAATTTGAAAAGATAATAAGAAATATGCGGAGATCACTTGAACTCACGATTTAAGATAGTACTATCTTAAATCGTGCTTGAACTAGAAGTTTTATAAATAGATTTTACACAAGCTTTCGATAAGGTCTGGCACCGCGGGCTTGAACAAAAATTAAAATTACTAAATCTCCCTACATACTTACTCAAAACCATCACATCCTTCATACTCAACAGATCTTTCAAAGTTAGAGTAGGATCAGACTTCTCACAATTACACCACATCAAAGCTGGAGTCCCCCAAGGATCAGTCTTGGGACCTACTCTGTTTAATATCTATTGCCATGACATCCAAATTCCCCTCAACTCTCAATTAGCAATGTTTGCGGACGACACGACAATTCTCACACAAGATAACTCCTTAGATGTAGCAATCCAAAACCTACAAATCTCACTAAATGAAGTAACTACCTGGTTCCAGAAATGGAAGTTGAATCTAAATCCAACAAAAAGTGAGGTCAAAACTCAAAATATTCACTCTTAAGAGATATAACAACCCTAAAGATATCCACATAAACAACCAGGTCATCCAATGGAATAAAAAAGACGACGCAGTCAAATACTTGGGTGTCCACCTAGATGAAAAACTTACCTGGAAAATTCATATTAACAAAAAACTTGTTCAGGGCTATACAAGGATGAGAACTCTTTACCCTCTAGTAAACTACAAATCAACACTACAAATCAAGTCATTACTCCTCCTATATACCTCAATAATCAGACCGCTGTTAACATATGCCTGCCCTGTTTGGGCGGCAGCCTCACCCACAAAAATTAAAAAAATCCAAACTCTTCAAAACAAATTCCTCAGGATCTCCCTAAAAGCACCATGGTATATGAGGAATCGCCAAATCCATAACGACACCGGAATACCCCTAATAAGTACCTGGATAAAAACCTAATTCAAAAACTTTCATGCCAAGTTAGAAGAATCGGACGGCGGCCGTCACTACCAACTAGGAAACAAAACCCAAAATAGGCGGCTAAAACCTCGACTGCCCCAAGACATACCCCCATCGGACAACGAAGAGCCCTCATCAGAAGATGAAGAATAAACCAAAACTTTTAATATTACTATATTATATTGTATAAATATTATTATCACATACGAAATAAATTCAAACTTATTACCATGAACTAATATATTATATCATTATTATCATCAATTTAAATGTAAAGGCTAAATCATAATTGTAAATATATTTGTAATAGCACCTGGTGTGCTGAAACATTTTTAGAGAATAAATAAAAAAAAAAATAAATAGATTTTATTCAGTACTCTGGTTAGCTAATGTTATAAAAAAAGTACTATAGAATTCTATGTAATTTACTTGAAATTAAATAACTATAAAATGACTGTTTATTTAAATTTGTTTTTCAATAAATTATAATAATATAATAAAATTAAATATTACTCATTTATTAAAATCAACCTTCTCCGCACATCCCAATTTAAATTTAATTCCAAAATAAAGATTTATTTTTCTAACTACTTAGGTACAAACTGATACAAATTATGGATTTGGGAATTGAATATTGATCCTTGTATATTACCATTTATCAATTATCAGTAGGTAACTAAAACATTTTCAATTAAAAAATAGACTTGCCAATATTTGGTATAGGTAATTGGTTAGACGTTTAGTTTTATATTTAAATTTTAAATTAATAGTTATAATACTTAATACATAATAGATCATGAATTCAAGGGGCAAATATTCCAGTGATTACGAGTTGAAATAATTATGTTAATATGTAGTTTTGAAACAATGATTGTTATTCAATAAAAGAACCACCCAGCCCCAGCATAATATACATATATCAGTGGCGTAGCCAGGAATTTTGTATGGGGAGGGGGGTTAAGTCTCACAAAAAAATACAAAAAATACAAATACAATATGTCTTTTATTTACACTTTTGATTTTTTTTATCTTGATGAAATACTAAGATTAACACAGTCAATGGGTTGGGGGCTGAAGACCCTTTAGCCCCCCTGGCTATGCCACTGATATATACTTATATGTATAATGTATTTAATAACTTAATCCTAGTATGCTTTGGACATTTCTCTTTGGAGTTTTTGCATTTAGGCTTTTAGAAATCTCATACTTCCATTTCACGACCATCGTACTACACACACACACACACATTATACCTACCTAATACTCGTTTCACAGTTCAATCGGTGTTTATATCATAACAGTATATTATAACACCTAAAAAAATTTTTTAAAAAAATAGAAAATAAACCGTTATTATATTATACGAACCGTCTGCAGCTTCCTGATGACCAGTATGTAGAAGACGAAAATGAGCATGAGCGGTATGGCGAACCCGAGCACGAAAGAGTAGAGCGTGAACGCGGTCTGCCCGCTGAACAAGTCGTTCTCCGGCCATATGATGTTGCAGCTCTTGACGTTGCCCTTGTCCATTGTGTTGGCGTACATGATGACCGGTATCATGAGTATGATGCTGAACGTCCACGCGGTCACCGACACGATCTTGGACACGTACGCGGTGCGCACCTTGGACGACGATATCGGATGGCATATGGCTATGTACCGGTCGGCGCTCATGATCATCAGAAATATGCTGCTGGTGAACTGGTTCACGCTGGTGGTGGTCATGTACACCTTGCACATGACGTTGCCGAACGGCCAGAACTCCATGGACATGGTGACGATCAGGAACGGTATGCCGATCAGGAAACACTCGTCGGCGATGGCCAGGTTGACGATGTACATGTTGGTCACCGTCTGCATCTTGGAGAACCGGATCACTACGTATATGACCAGCGTGTTGCCTACCAGACCTATCACGCACACGATCACGTACAGGATCTTGGATATCAGGTACAGCGACGACTCGTGCCCGGACGTGTCATCGCAGTACAGCGCGTCCCTGTCGCCGGTGCCGTTGTTGTACGGCCCCATGTCGGTGCCGTTGTACGAGCCAGTCGGCGGTTCCATCGACGGCCAGCCGGCCGCCAGCTGCAGGACACTAGGATATTCCATCGGCTAGCTGCAGCACGCGATCAGTTAGCTAACCGTGCGGGATGAATCCGCGCGCGCTCGCCCTGTCCGTCGTCGGCGTTAGTGTACCGCGTCGCGTCGTTATCCACAGCCGGCAGTCAAGTCAGTCGTACGCGGTCACCATCACATTGTCGTCGCCGTTGAGGTTTTCCTGCGTAAAACAAACAAAAAGAAAACCTTTATGCAAACGAATGTGTAAAGTCACCAAAACTTTTACCTCGGTGACATTTAACGTTCTATATAGGTCAGGTGGTGGGTAAATGGATTGGGAACGAGGTGGGGTGTAGGAGGCTGCATCTGCCGTGATCGTGACAAAATTCAAAATATTATGTAGGTACATCGTTTACAAAATATTTAAATTTAAGATTTAAAATTTATATAAGACTTCTAACTTGTAATTTTATCGACGAAGAGCGAAGGATCTAATTTTATATTATTATTTTTCAAAACTTGTTTTACTATAGTTCCGGTCATACCTCAGATTTGATGTACAAATGGTTTTATTTCGTTGGATCCTATAATAGAGCGGCCTCCTCATGTTCACAGTGAGATGTTCAGTGGCGGGGCCGGCTTGGGAACAACACTCCACGGGGGAAAAAGTGCATAAATCCGTATGCGATGTTTAAATCGAGTTATGCTCATGGCGTAACTAGGATTTAGTGGTCACAGGGGCTATAGGTACTATATATGGGCTATACACAGTATAATCCCAGTGGCGCCCAACCCTATTACTAGGTGTAGTATTACTACACCTTGAAAATAAGGGGTGGGTGGGTAAAATAACATAAAATAATTAACTTGAAATATGTTTATTATTAATCACAGATTATATTGGTTGATAATACTAATATTATCAATTAAAATATGATAAAATGTATAAAATAATATAATTTTGAGTTTGTGAGGGGCTGGGTGGGTGGGTAAAATTATTTCTTGCTATACCTGAAAAATATAACTTGAGCGCCACTATATAATCCTAAGAAAATCAAAGTTCAAACTCAGCTATAGAATGTAAAAAGGCCCTTTTGTAGTCATCAAAAATCTCAAAAATCAATATTGTATAAAAAAAAAAAAATAAAAATGTATCTTTTTTATTTATTCTATACAATAAGCGCACATTTTAATATATTATTATTGTATAATATCATTATGCCTGAATGATATGTATCAATTATCTTATTTTCTTTTTACGTTTAGTATAGCCTAGCTAGATCACTGAATCTATTTTGGTCGACGTTATAATATGTACCTACCTACTTTTTAATATTCTTCATACATGAAAAAGAAACAATCGTATTTGTCGTGGGTCATTTCGATAAAACTATCGAAAACTGTAATTATTACGGCAATTACCATATTTATATCAAAAATATCAGTATACTATATTATTATATATTTTTTTTATTAGGTTTAAGGTTTCGACAACTGCGAGGTCATTAGCCTGTAGGTTGGTACAGCAGGGTTGGAACGGTCGGTTAGGAACACGTGTACGTGTGGCGTAATCTTTTTGCACACTACGAACTCGGGTGGTCACACATCCGAGAACTAGTGGCAGCGGCCGTACCTTACTCTCAATCACGTAGCGTGATTGATTTCAGCCACTGCGCAGCGCCGGGCCACATAATTATAATATTATACATCATAATTTGCATAATGTTTATTATTATAATCATTAATCATTATTAATTATTATACACACTGAACGCACGACAATTTTTTTTTTGCAAGGACTTCGAATTCATATTCCGATGGTCCCCCCCACTTGGACAAAAAACGTTTATTGGGCGAGCTCAACCTCTCCCCTCAAGTCCCGCTTTCCTAGTTCCGTCCTAGTAATGATGCCCTGAAAGGCTTATTTTTTATGCAAACACTGGACGGTGCGTTGTCGTCGTCATTATAGAAAACTTTTTAAACGTTCCAGGAAGTCACTTAGGGATTGCCTATTCACGACGCCTCGATGTAGAAATTTAAGGATTGAAACATTTTGAAAATAATTCGTCATAGGTAATTATTATGTACACAGATAATATATCGGGAAAATAGATCCGATGTGGTACACCTGATGGAAAAAAACGAACAGCCGTGCAAAAAATGTGTGTTTTATCGGACATAAAGTTCTCTAACTCTAACTTTGACTCGAAGGTTGAATACTTTTTTCCTTCGGTGTTTTATCTTTTACTTCTCATTCGCTAATGACCTGAGCATTCGTGAAAGCATCGATTGTCCAGCACTAGATAACACTAAAGATAAAACTAAATTTTATTCCACATCAAAGCGATTGATTAATGATTATACTATTATAGAGGGTAGCTGATAACGACAATAGTATTGTTATTGTTAATGTAGTGGCCAGCTGCAGATTGGCACTATTTTTTGCAGCGGTGTCAAACATTATAGTTCAAAGACGTTTTACTGCAATTTTGGTTATAACTTCTAGTTAATGTGAATATGTGTATGTAATAATAATTATCAGATAAATCGAGTTACAATTAATTTAATATTTTTATATGGTACTCATACTTATGATGTGAGTAAACCAATTTATGTACACCTATAATCTACGTATATATACCTAATAATTATTATATAATATGACGTGCAAATTTTCAAATTGTTTAACAGAATGATAAATCATTATAAACACTGAACCTATGATTATTATAATATATTATAAATACGTAAACAACACAATAGAGTAGGTAAAGTACGTTTTACCGGTATTCTAGGTATATTACGAGATCTAATGTGTCTCAATAACAACGGATGTCTTTCAATTTTCGTCTCTTTAATTATTCAAAGAGGTTACTATTTCAAACGCTTGATGTATAATTCTCATGCACTACAGTTTTAGGTTTCTTTGGTCGATGGTATGTGATAGTTTTGGACACACATCGAAATCATAATCGTACCCTAATCACCTTGTGATCATTGCATCATCTGCAGTAGTGCAGTAACATGGACGACGAATCCGATCGCTTATGTTATTATATTATTGTAATTTTATTTGTTTTCTCTTTAAAACGACCAAAAATAGAACAATGTTTTTTTTTTTAATTATCATTTGTATACCATTTAAAAGTGTTCACCTTTACCGATAATATAAGACGGTATAAAACAGCTTCGCCGTGGTTATGAAATAGAAACTTTTTTTAAAGTGACGGTAAAACTGACGGTTATTGCTCTTGGTAGTTGGTGGCATCAGAGCCAAATCTCTCCACAGTTCACGATGGATTTAAAAGTTAACACACGTTTATTTATGGATGAATTGATGAGCTTTTATAATATATTTCTTTTTTGCTCTGCAGTTGTCAACTTTTTCTAGTAGGCTACATCGCCAATCGTCATATTGGAATTTATGATTATAATGTATACAATTATACGATTGCAAAAATTAAATATACAAATAATGTACTAATAATATCAGGAATTAATCTCATTATTCATTGATAGTGGACGGATTTTATTGTAAATATACCTATATTTTTATTGGAATGAGATATTTTTAATCTGATAAAAAATGTGTAGATCATTCTAATTAAAATAAACCAAAATTTATTTTACATATTTTTACATATTTTGGTATGAATATAATAATACATATTGTGATATATTTGATAAATAAGTACATATTTTGTAATAAATATCTTAGTAATTTTTGATATTTTCACTGATTTCCGACAACGACAAACATTATCTGGTTTATATAAATAGCATCCATGTATCGATATGCCGCTAATAAACACGCCGTTGATAAATTAAATAGGTAATGTAAGCCCAAAATAACAAGATTAGTAATTTTTGATGACGACTAAATAGTAAATACTCTACGTTATCTAAATTAAATTCAATATTATTATTGTTTAATATAATAATATATTAATATATTATAATTAAACAAATAATTTCAAATTTAGAAACTAGGTCAGTACTGAAACTACCATCGTTATTAATAAAGCTAACAATTTGATGGAGCACGTTAATTTAAAAAATAATTTAACTTACTTGCGAATTTTTGTTTTTTGGTACATATGATAAAACTAGGATATAGTAGGATATATATATATATATATAGAAATAGGATTAAAAATATGAAAATAACTAGAGACATACATTTATTGGACTAAATTCCACAGAACCATTTTACGTGAACTCACACCAATTGATGTAGCTAATATGAAAATATCGATGTGGAATGTTAGGTGAGATCAAAAACATTTTGCTACCGAATCGTCGCCAAATTTTGTTACATATTTATAACTTTTTTTACATATTTTGATTTTTTTTTATTACAATTATGTCCGTTCCCTATTCCTTACTCTTATTATATCGTTTTATATTATATTGAAAGTAAAAAATAAATTATAGAGACAATTGCTCCTTTCGAAAGTTTACACCCTAAATTGTTACTTCCTATGATTCTTAGGTTGACTGTGCAGTATTCTATATTCCAGTGTGGATTCATATTACAAAATTAATATTTTCATGTTTATTTTGTAGCTGTAGTCTTAATCCTGTGCCCATCATACAAATATTATAATATCTCTGTATAAATTCTCTCTCTCTCGAAATTAATTTTAAGACCGTTTTCATTACGAAAGTAATTACAAGTTGATTTATTTTGTATAAATCATAAATTAAATTTCGATTACTCATATTATGCGTCTGTTGCCGTATGCGTGCCAAATAAATATAGTTACGATATTATTTTATGTTGGAAATTCGACCCACATATATTACAATAAGTAATAACATTTTAATTATAACTCCGTATGTGGTATGGGGTTTTTATAATATCAAACATTGAATTGCACAACTGCACAAGGGTATTTAATTGTATGCCACGTTATTGAAATATTAAAATATACATAATACTGAACTAAGAACAAGCAGACAAGTGACATTTCGGTAGTATAGACATAGACAATATTATAATGATGTACCTGCCACCTTATGAAGTGTACTGACTACTGGGTGATAATATG